GTAATAATTATTGATAAAACTAAGCCTCTCGTTTTTCCCGATCAAAATTTTGCGTCGATGCCGCGGGGATATTGCCAACGATTCGTTCTATATCAACAACACGCGATCTGATTCAGCAGAAATACATTAACTCTTATTTGAACGATATATTTTCTTCGGCGAAGCGATTTTTGCCCGAGTAATTTAACTATGATGTTAATGTTAAATATATTGTTTTATGTGCCATACTTTTTTACCAACAAACTGACATATATAATTTTTTCCAAATATAATGTTATGTATATATTACTGCATTAATGTTCACCATTATATATATATATATATATAATATTTTAATATTTTTTAAATTTAATTTTTTAAAGTTCGATTTAAAGATAATATCAATTAACTTATAAAATAGAATGTAGTTTTTTTCCCCTTTCACAATAAAATATAGTAGTAATAAAAATATATAAAATAATCATGAAAAATGTACTAATGTATGAGAACTGTAAGTAAACTGATTCGTTCATTAAATGATGTATTAAAATTATGAATATAAAATTTCAGATTAATTAAGGCTGTCTGAAAATAAAAATTGAAATATTTCAGACGTCGCACACACGTAAAGCGATAGATGAACGAATAAAATAAATCCAATAGGTTTATGAAACTAAAAAGAATCTGCCTGGATAAAGGTTAAAGCTGAATTGACACATCTCTTTTATAGATGTGACAATTTATTGTATATTTCACATAGAAACTTATTCGTAACATTTTTTCAAATCTGCTTTCTAGTTTTAAAACATATTCTGTGTGTTGATTCTAACAGCTGTTGATTTCAGTGAAATTTATCGGATTATCGTAATCACGCGCTTTTATTTTTCATCTATCATGACGTACGTTCAGATTTGTTAGCGAATAGATAAAAGTTGCTAAATATCTAGAAGAAAGTAATGGAACTATTAATACGATAAAAAGTGTATTCATTTTCTAACTGTAGATACGGGCTTGTAGTTGCTTTATGACATTTCATGTTATTGAGTCGCGGCGAGAGATATGTTTACTATTTGATGTATTCGTGTTTTTTGGCGTTTGTTTTTTAATTTTTATTCTTTAAAATAATATATAGAATGCTTTTTCATAAGACTCTCCTGCTAAACTTTTTTAAAGGAAATTTTGTTTTTAAACAGGACCTGCTCTATTAAAATTAAGATAGACCTTGAATTAACATTAATGGTTAGTGCCATTTGATTTCGAAATTTAATATTGTACATTAATTGGTTCTCAAAGAGAGAGAGAGAGAGATTTTAGTATACTGCTCTCTAAATCTGAATCAGTGGATAATCACTGATATCAGTGCCAAGTATGCCACTGATAATCAGTAAATGAAATGTGAGATCCCTAACCTATCTAATCTTTATTATGTGATCTAACTAACTAACCTTGTTTAGTGCATAAATTCAATAAATAGGGTATTAGAAGATTGAAATTAACGCGCAAGTATCAGTATTTAATTATATAATGCTCAAACATTCTTTCTTCTTTATAGTTGAACTTCACTGATTATCCAGTGTCGAGTATGCCACTGGATAATTAGTGACTATGCACTGATTCAGATTTAGAGAGTGCGAATTTACGAAAATATATGTGACGTTTTAAGTACATAATAATTATCGTATTTGACACCCGGTGATGGCGAGACTTGGCGGAGTCTTCCCGTTGCATTATATCAGCGGTTCTCAGCGAACTCGCGGAATCCCGGTGAAAACAAACGATCTCGCGCTCGAAACGTTTTTCTTTGCCGTCGAGGCGCGGTCGTTCGGCAGTGTGTGTACGTCGGACGCGCACACATACGTTGCCATAACTCGCACCAGGTAACATGAGAAACGGCGACTCGAGCCCGCTTTTCGTAAGCGGCTTACTTGCGCGACGGAAAATTGTACTATAGTCCTGGCCGCGTGCGTGCCTTTTTCTTCGCCTTAACTGTCTCTACGTCGTCGCACATAAAATACACGACCGCCCCTGGTCTCCTTTCACCCCCGGAACGTTCCGCGCCCCGGATGTTTATGCTGCATGTAAGCAAACACAGTTTTTCTCCGGCTAATGTACGCAGCAGATCGTGAAGAGTTATAGCACGTTGTGAGTTTTCGCAACTAAAATTATTAAATTATATGGCATTTTTTTTTCATTCCTGATGTACGACCGCTATTTACTCACAATCAGTCGATTAGGGTTACCTACAACTTGCATTGATAATATTTGGTATTGGATATTTTTACCATTATAATTCAGTTGAATTAACCACCTGTTCATATTTGAATTATTCATATATCTCTTTTATATCATAAATTACAATATATTTACAAAAATGTGTAATATGTGTATACATTTAAACATTTTTCCTAAACTCTCCATAAATATCGATGCTGCGGACCAAATATTTTGTTTATAATACAGGGTAACAAAAAAGTTTGGTTATAAAGTTTTGTGTTCATATTAAATTATTAGTAAAGTATATTTATAAAAAAACTTTGGAGCACACATTAGTTATATTTTATTAAATAACAAAAATAAAAATGGCTACTTTTAGCTCTGATACAAACTTTAATTTGCGCTTCGAGAATGTATCAATGATGGCCACGTATCTTTCTGTGGATAAAATTCTTCAAGTTAATAGAGCAATCTTTAGTTCACCATTTGATGGAAATCTTTCGGTGCAGAATCTTTTTGGTATTTAATAAGATATAATTGATACTCCAAAGTTTGCCTTTTTGTAAATATATTTATATATTAACGATTTGATAAACACAAAATTTCATGGCCAAACTTTTTTGTCACCTTGTAGATAGCGCGAGCTGCAGAGAGTACATACGTTTCGAGTTCTACATATATTCAAATCGGGCAGATTCTTGGGCGTGCGACTCGCATTTCGTCTGCGTATACCGACGAAGGGTGGGGGGAACAAGAGCGCTATCCGTCAATATTTTCAGTGGATTCTAGTCGCGACGTGTCCGCAATCCCGACATTGATAACGTCTGTCGTTTGTGCTCGAGCGTGCTTGTGCATTGCGTAGTCCTGCGCTTTTCCGACTCCATCTGTCTGTCTGTTCGCGGCTTGCGCTTAACCCCCGCTCGGCCGCCCCTCATCCCCGACTGCCCGAAAGCCCGAAACAGAAAGCATTTTAAGCCTTTGCATCCGCAGTAACGCGAGTTTTCGCTTTTGGTATGTTTCCAGAACAGCAGGAACCGGAGTTCGACCGCGCGGGAGGAGCCAGCAGTGCGCCGAATAAATGACGTAAATCCGAGGAACGGAAGCGCAACGTCACTCGCTAACTCGCAATCCTCTCCTTCCCCCCCAGTCCCCCCCGTCCTGCCCTACCCCCTGGGAACCCCCCTTCCCTCTCTCTGTCTCATGGACCTTTGCCCTCTCTTGTCGCCTGTACGCCCGCTTTGTCGCCCGCCGTCTTCACGTGCTTACAACACTACCCTCTTACCGCTCCTACTCGTCGTCGTCTCCGTTACCACTCTCTTCGCACGCTTCTTCGGCGTCTACAGCCGTCGCCACATCTCCCAGCATCCTGTTCCTGTCCACGAAATTTCGAAATAACCGACTCGCGCGTTGCTGTTCCTCTCGATCTCGGCAGGACGGCACGTAAGAGTTTCCTCCACCTTTCCACGCACGGAGCGGCCCTTCTTTCTCCCCCCTCCGTCTTCTCCTGCTTCATCAGCAGCACCGGCAGACCGCTGCGGTGAACGAATACAGTCCTGCACCAGCTCCTCCGCTATACCACCATCGCCCTACTCCTTCCAGTAGACTCGCCGCCGCGAGACACACGCGTTGGTTTGAAACCGGCTTGAAGGACGTCACGACCGGCTTTTCGAAACACGCATACGTAGACGAATACATATATACACATACACGTGCGATCCAGTACACCCTCAGCGGCGACCAACCGCCTGTGTGTGCATAAAGGAAGGGAGATACTTGTGCAAAAGCGCGCGCGTCTAGAGAGCACGTTCTTCTTGGTCGACGTTTAGCTTCGAAGGCTTTCAAGCTTTGCCCGACTACTACTACTATTCTACTACTACCACTACTGCTACTACTACTACTACTACTACTACTACTACTACTACTACTACTACTACTACTACTACTACTACTACTACTACTACTACTACTACTACTACTACCAGGCTACAGCTTCTCAACGCTACGGTGCGCTGCAAGATTAAGAGAGAACAGAGGAAATATAGTGAATAAGGAGTCGATAGATGAGATCGACGAGCTACGACGCCGCCTTATCACGAAGCCAGGAGTAGCGCCATCCCGCCTAAAATCGACCGGTGTCTAATCGCTGTCGATATATAGCTTCACCTTTTTCGCTTCTTCTCTTTTCCCGGTGAGATATCTCTTCATCCTGTCCTCTCTCGCCTGCGTACATTTAGCTTTCCCGGAGATTATCGTGTGAGAAACGCGTGCACCATCAAAACCCGGCCTACGAGATTAAAGAATTTCGCAGAAACGCGAATCATCGACGACAACGCCTAAGCCGGCCGCCGCCGTGCTCCTTCGATTAATACTCGCCACGGAATCCGATATCAGGCGAGAGAAAAAGAACGGCGATAAGCCACGTTCGAAACAGCCGACGTTGCTGATAAACGCGAGTCTTCGTCAGACATATCGCGCGACGACAACGACGACGAGAGCCAAGCGCGATTTCGAGGTGAGGAAGAACGAAATCGCGAAACACGGTGATTTCCCACGCGGAAGATCTACGCACAGGAAGACAGACGCCGATCATCGTGTACATGGGACACTAAGATCATCGCATCGCGCTTAAACGAGAGATCTCCTGCCGTAAGGTATACAGTCACAAGTAGTTGCATGACTCCGAGGCACTCGCGGGATTTCGCATACAGTGTGTTTGTGTGTGAATGGTAGAGAGGGAGAGAGGGAGAGAAAGGGAGACAGGAAGGGGTGAACGTGTGCACGTGAGCGAGTGGTGAGAGAAGCTGACGAGACGAGGCGAAAGTGGTGGAACGAAAGGGTTCAGTACCGGACTTGGCGAAATCCCGTGAACAAGTGCCGACGAGTTCGTGTCGCGAGGTGATCGTATTCCATAAACCGAAACGTCTATATCCTTGGTAAGATCAGTCGACGCGTGTGCACGCGACCGGAGAAAAGGAGCCGATCATCACGAGCAAGAGTTTAGAACGGCAAGAGAGAAAGAAAGAGAAAGAAAGAAAAGAGAGAGAGGAGAGTCCAGGTTACTACTCTCTCACGGTAGAAGCCAACCGACGGGGACTCTCGGTCTTCCAGGAGTGGAAGAATGGCAATGGTCAGCATGAATAACCTACTGAACGGCAAGGACTCGCGGTGGCTGCAACTGGAGGTTTGCAGGGAGTTCCAGCGCAACAAGTGCACCAGGCCCGACACGGAGTGCAAGTTCGCCCATCCGCCGGCTAACGTCGAGGTGCAGAACGGACGGGTGACCGCCTGCTACGACAGTATCAAGGTAACGAACCGTTGCATAATCGAGTTTTCGTACTCGCGCGTAACGAGCGCGTTCGCGCGGAGCGGAATCGTCGGTCCCCGCGCACACGACCGATAAACTCCGCCTTCACTTATCTGACACCTTCGGTAGACTCAACGAGAGAATTATCTCTGTTATCCCGATGAAGTGTGAAACTCTATCGTAACGTATTCGCATCGATGAGCGTCGTCGAAACGGGGCTCTCTTACTGTTAAAGCTCTTCTTAGTTGATTCCGATCCTGTGAGATAAGTGAAGTTATATTGTAATTGGATATTATTTATCTTATCTTTATTTATGAGCTTTGCCTTTCCAATGAAGAAATACCGGTAATTGTATCGTGATAAATTCAGTTAACAGATAGGATTATCCGTATCGTCTTTATTATAATCTCAAGGAAAACTGTCCTGATTCCATTCGATAAGACATCGTGTACTTTGATCTCTGTATGCTATTGAAATAATATTATAAGTTGGAAGACGAGATTATATCGGATTTATTTTACACCGGAGTATAAAGGGGAGATTTTGAAATTGATGTTTAAGAAGATTATCGACGAGCAATTGCGAATATCTATGAATGTCGAGGCGCGTGCTTGTAGGTCATTCTCTTCGGCATCAAATGCATTCTAAAGATCTCTTTCCATTCTGCAATCGATCTAAATGAATACGTGCAATGTATACGTCGTGAGATCGTCGATCGATCTTTTCTGCCCGTGCTTTCCGACTGATCTCTCTCGATACAAAGCCGATAATTTGCAACGCCACGCGGTTCAGATAAGGAACCGGTTGTAATTTACGATGGGTAATAAGTCTCTTATCGTCGATCCGGCGCGCTATCGGCCCTCGGGGGGAAACGCCGGTTTATGGATTTTAGAATATACCGTCTCTCGTATGCGTTCCCGAGGCAAGGCGCGATTAAATGAACGCGAGAAAGAGGGAGAGAGAACGGCATCGGGGGCGCGGCTCGCCGTCTTCCGAGCGCGTCTCGGTAGATATTGAACCGGAGAATTGAATTCGCAGTTATTAATAGCGACAATTATTCAACGCGCGGGGAGCGAGAGTACCAATCGACACCGTCAATAAATCAGACGGGCTCGGGGAGGCAACGAGCATTATGTAAAAATTGAAGGAGACCCTCAAGCTCGACGTTCGTCCGCGCCGCCGTCGATGGTGCCATATTGTCTGATGGCACCTATACACGCACGCTCGCGATTAGATAAAGCGAGGAGGTACGTGTCTATGTGTACACATATATATGTGATACACGTGGGGTGCGGCAGTCGCGCAATTGTGAGTACATATGCTGGTGTAACATTGATACATTTTTCTGCAATAAACTTCGTCGTTATCTTCTTTTACTTATCTTGGATTATACGTGAAAGCGAAGATTAGCAGAATAACGCATAGTGCTTTTTGTGACGTCACCTATTGTATATTTTCAAACGGAATTGCAGATTTCATAACTGATGAATGACGCTTTCACTGAAGCTATATACCTATTATTGTCGTGTGGTGTCAAAATTTTACTTTAATAAAAAGTTTAATGCGAAAATTTGCATTAAATATTTTACATTGCCGGAAAAGTTGCACGTTAAATGAACCTGTAAATATTTTATGGCGGTTCCAAAAACTTTTTTTAAAGTCATAAAAAACATTTGGAATTGCTCATTTAACATACAGTATTAATATTGAAGTATGCATACAAATTTATTATTGACATCAGTCGTCATTATATTATCGTATTATATAAGAAATAATAACTAATTAACATTTATAATTTGAAACTGTTAAAACAGTATTTCTCTCTTTTCTGGGAAGCAGCTTTATAATATTACTTGACACATTTCTGTTAATTATTTGAAATAATCTTATCTCTCTTGATTAAGAAAACTCGATTAAATTCTGTTAAAGAGAAAGATTCATTTTTAGGCACACAATTGGGTCTTCCATTTATTGCTGAAAGAGATCTGCTCTAAATCTGTCAAAAAATAATCTAATTATTGTCTATTATATGTATTAATAGCACGTGGTGAACTCGTTCTTGTGACTACGATTGTAAATTTTCGCCTTATGCGTGCTATCGTTTTTAGACTCGGTCACGAATACACGCATAGCGCGATTAGATAGCGAGTGGCAAAAAGATAACATTCACACGAGGGAGCAGCTTGCCGCTGTACTATCCGAATATTCTCGAGACGCGTTCACGGTCGATTCGTTTTCAGATAGAGAAATACTCATGTACATATACGTACGTGTATTCTGTGTACAATCATGTGTGCGAGTCGTGCAAGTAGGGCCGAGCCACATTTAATTCTGGAAGCTATTAATGTCGCGGGTAGTGCCTGAAAGGCCGCGTTGTCCGTCGAACTTTGGTCGTTTCTTTGCCTCTCCGTTCCTCGCACGTTCTTCCTCAATAATGGCGCTCGTTACGTTTAATCGCTCTGAATGAATGGAGCGACGGGCGGGCGCGCGAGTATGCGCCATAGCATTTACACAAAGGTGGTCCAGAAGAGGTGCCAGTAGTCAACGATACATAAACGTTCTCACGCGAATTCGAAACCATTTTGCTTTAGCAAAAATTTGAGCTCACTTTATTCGGCATCGCTGATCCAAAGAGTTAGGTTACATTTGGAACAATTGACTTTTTTAAATCTTCATTAAAGATTGATACAGTAAAATATAACATCTTTCTTGCAATATATCATTGTTTAAACTATAACTGTGTGAAATTAATTGAGAAATAAGATTTCGATAATATATCTGCTGCGTGAAAATTTAACTCATTAGTATATCTATTTAAAATCTTGATGTTTTTATTGTAGAAGAATATCTCTTGTTTTTTTTGACGGAAGATATCTTTGCGCAGTAATTTGTGTGCAAAAAGATAAAACATCTCCGCATTCTATGGAAAGATGCGTGTGCGAGTAATACTAAGGATTCGAATCCGAGACGTTGTTAAGTTTCCGCAGTATATAAGAGAAAGCCAAGCACTCTCGGGAACGCTGATATTACCCCGAAGAAATATTAGCAATAAACCGTTGCATTACGTACACCGGACCTCGACTGCCTTGCCGTGGTTCCCAAAGTCTCTCATGATGAGTCTGTCGCGTTTCTTGCGCCGTTTAGGTGCCAGAAATGCTGCTCTCTTCGCATTTCGCCGATGAAATAAAGGCTCATTTTTCGACTGGGAAATAAAGGAGAGTGGCTATCGCCGTTTCCAACGTCTTATCGCTCCTCCCTTGGCACGGATGGGTATCTCCGGGTAGAAGCTAGATTAATTTCACGGATTGGACGGAGAACACGGACATAAGTTTGGTCTGGTCGCGCCAAGCGAGTCGTCCGCGCGTTTGCATCGATTCTGCTGCATGGCTTTTATTCCTGCAGCAGTTCCTTTCTCGTTCTACCGGTATACGCCCGATAAGAGAGGATCTATTGTCATGTTAACTGCAAGAATTACGCGCTGCGAAATGAAGGAGGATTGTACGAGCGACCCCTCTTTCTTTCTCTCTCTTTCTTTCTATTTCTCTCTCGCCCCCTTTTTCCTTTCTCTCTCCTTCCGTCCTTACTTCGCACAAGAAGCCACTAATGACTATAAATGTGATCCGTAAGCGTTTCCATGTTTCAACGTCATGACGAGATGACTTGCTTGTCGAGTATCTTTTCGAATGTTACATGATTTAAAACTTCATCTTCCTCTCTGATCTTAAGTTATACCTGAGGATATAATTTTATTTCGTTTTATAGTACTAAAAATTGGTAAAATATCATAGATATTTTAGGATTATTGTGTAGAAAATGTAAAAATATTAGAAAGGATTTATTTCGAATAATAATAGTAAATTATTAAATAATAACGAATGATAGATATCTCCATATTACGCACTGAAGTTGTGTCATTTTTATACATTCATTTCGTAAAAAATAATCGTACAGACAATATACGTAGTTAAATACTAGAATAAAAAAATATTTAAAAAGGAAAAATAGGTTACGTTTTACAATGCTATTGTACACAATACGCTATTACGAGAATTCAATTTTTGGAGCAACATGACGTAATTTTCGTTCTAAACTAAATAGTTACGAAATACGATTTTATTTTCATGCGGGATTACTCGATATAACACGTCTATGTCGACTCTTCCTCCGTTACACACAAACAGGATTCAAATGTATTTATTGTGTTACATCGAACTGCCGCGAAGCGTAATGTTTTATTCTCGTTCGTTAAAAACATAGTTCGTGTAGTAGGGAGCGATAGAAAAACGTGACGTGAACATTTTTTTCATCGATTTGTAATTGATTCCGCGTCTATAATTTCGCGCCGCAGTGAATATAGATTCTTTTATTTTACTCTTCTCACTTCCATTTATCTGACTTGGGCAAACTGATGGAAATTACTTACACTATTTTAAGAGAATGTTAAATGACGATTCCTTCCTTTTCATAATTAATGGCTACTGGCTAATGATCAGAGTGTTTTCAGCCATTTTCGCATAAAACGATTGAGGTTAAGTTTAACATTAGATTTTACGATATTGATTGAATTAGAAATTAATAATAGACACTCTGAGAACTATTATTTCTTGCAGCTTTTTTATATTTAACGATAAATATTTTGATAATTAAATTGAGATGTCTAAAAAGATAAATGCTCCAATTTACGCGTGTATAATAATATAGTCTTTAACTGCAAGGTACGGAATTTATTCATTGAAAACTCTTTATTTTCAAATTATATAAATTCGAAATCATTCATGCCTTGATATTTTAGTTGAGAGAAATTCGATCTCAAGTGGATCAAAGATCTCGTTATTAAAATTTGAAATCGAGGTTTCAATACACGCGTTTCATTGAGAAGTGAAGTAGAAGTGTGGTTACGACACGTAAAAAAGATTCGAGGCGATCGTTAAAATCGTTCTCGGTCGCGACGTTACGATCCCATCCACCGTCACGAAATTCGCACGTTCGATTCCAATTAG